TATGGAAGCAATGTGCAAATTTCTAATTTGCCTACTTTAATGATGAGGAAGAAATGTGCAAATTTCCAATTTGCACACTTTCAAGAAACATTGAAGAAAAATAGAGCTCATAAAGCTTCCTCCATGAGGAAGCCATGTGCAAATTTCTAATTTTTAAATATTATAGTAATCATATTTATAATTCTGCGATATAACGCGTATGGTATTTCACACATAATTGATAAAACGATAACGAACAGTATAACAAATTAATAACAAATTATATCTTTAATCAATACTCTGTAATAATAATAATATGATTTATCGTTTCCCCTCGGGGATTACAAGGCGTTTTTGAAGGACCGTCCCCAAACCTTATACATTACTCGGTAATAATATTGCAAGTTTTTACTAGGGCAGATAAAATGACCTCGACGGGGAAAGGTTTCGCAACAACAGCAATCCATACTGCGCAAGAACCTGAGCAATGGAGCCATCGTGCGGTTGTACCACCTTTGGTGATGTCCACCACTTTCAAGCAAGATGGTCCAGCACAGCATCTCGTAAGTACTAAACAACATGACTCATCAGAACCCACTCAGCTCTTAGCAACTGCCTCCTCTCACTCAATCAATTAATGCCAATTGTTGCTGGTAGAAGCTGCAGTAAATTCCCGTCGCTGCTAATGAAGTTATACATAAGTTGCTAAAAAATTAAATCATATTGTTTCTTCATAAATTAACTTATTATGTTCTACTGAAAAATTGAATGTAAAAGGGAAAAGAAATGACTTGGTGGCAAGCTGCCGCCTACAAGTGTTTCCAAGTGTTTCTTTCCTCTTTCTATCTTTACTGAAAGATAAGAGAATACTTCGAAACATTTGAGGCGACAGCGGACAGATACAAGTCAAATATCTTATTTTCGAAATAAACGTATTTAAGTATATTGAAGCATAAAAACATTTGAATAAGCGTAGTCTGTTTCCATGTCTTTATCAACTCGAGGTCGAATACAAATATACAGTTCAAATGTCACAAAACAATCTGCGACTCGTCTGTTTATCAAACCTTTAATTATGTAGAATTTCTTGCAAAGAACGCGTGAAAGTTTTAACTCTTTCGGATATCATTAAAAAATACTTGAAAGTTAAACACACAGAAGATTGTATAAATGTTTCAATTCTCATTGTTTCAGGGGTATGAGTACGGCAGGAGCGGTAATCCTTCGCGCAACGTATTGGAAAAATGCCTGGCTGCTCTAGAAAACGGCAAGCATGGCCTATGTTTCGCGAGTGGATTAGGTGCTACAACTGCCATTACAGCATTGTTAAAGACGGGAGATCATCTTCTTCTCGGAGATGATCTCTATGGTGGAACTAATCGTTACGTCCAGAAATGTTTGAGCCAACAGGGCATAAAGTATACCTTCACCGACATGACTGAAACACAAAACGTTATAGACAACATACAGCCCGATACAAAGATGATTTGGCTGGAAACGCCGACAAATCCGCTGATGAAGCTCATAGATATCAAAGCCGTCGCCAACAGCTTAACCACAAAATCTCGTCCGGACATTATATTAGTAGTCGACAATACTTTTCTCACTTGCTACTATCAAAAGCCTCTTGATCTTGGTGCAGACATTACCATGTACAGCCTCACGAAATACATGAACGGCCATTCTGATGTAATCATGGGCGCTGCGATCTGCAACCGGGACGATCTCGCAGAGAGGCTGCGGTTCATTCAAAATGGTAAATCCGCGAGAATTCTTCCGAGTCATGTATTTGTAGAGTTTATATAACATCTTCTCTTTGGTTACAGCCATGGGTATTGTGCCTTCTCCATTTGACTGCACCCTGGTCAATCGTAGCTTAAAAACTCTCGAACTCAGGATGCAGAAACACATGAAGAACTGTTTGGCCGTCGCAAAGTTTCTCGAGTCTCATCCACGCGTCGAGCGAGTGTTCCATCCATGTACATACGTAGCGTATTTGTACCATTTATCTTCCTTATCTTGCGATACTTCCTTATCTTTGCTCTTAAAATAGAAGTATATATATCATAATTAACACGTTTCAATAATCAATGCAGTGATAAAACATTCATACAATAAAATACGTGCTGTTACAGATCTACCGTCGCATAAACAGCATCAGCTAGCGCTGAAGCAAACATCAGGGCACAGCGGCATGGTCTCTTTCTACCTGAAAGGTGATACAAAGCGCTTTTTGAAAGCACTCGAAGTGTTTACGTTGGCGGAATCTCTCGGCGGTTACGAGTCGCTGGCTGAGTTGCCGTAAGTATTCGAAATACATGTATTTAAAACTACATTTCTAACGCGTTTTTCCCTCTTCATTAGAAGCGTCATGACGCACGCGTCCGTGCCGGAAGATGAGCGAGCAAAATTGGGTATAACCGATCAGTTAGTTCGGCTCTCAGTTGGCCTTGAAACAGAACAAGATCTCATAGCCGATATCAAACAAGCATTGGAAGCTTGTCAATGAATTAATCGGCGTAATTAAACCGCCATTAAAGTAACGCAGCAGCATGTATTCGAATTTCTACTAATTGTATTATATAATAAATAATACCAGATTTCTACACTATCCCAGTGACCCTCGTAGTGCATTGCCTGCGGTATCAGTATGTAAAGAAATTTTATTTTTATAAAACTCTTTTATACATTACACAGAGCCCTCACATTTACATTAGGAACACTTGTATAATACAGCAATAGCGAGATACTCTTTGACACGTGTGATCACTCGTCCCGATTTCTTTTGGTTTGTCGTATCTGCCAGCCGTTTCTCAACGTGCAAACAGACTGTCCAGTTCAGAAACCATATAAATTACACGCCGGCAATTTACACAGCAACGTCGTAATGTTGTCGTTAATATCGCGGATTGCGAATAAAAAAGAAGACCCAATTGTTCTCGTCAGCCTTTGAATATTCACTGGCGATCACAAGATTCGACAAAACACCATTTTTATTATTAATTGTACTTCGGCTTGACTCTACATGTACCGTCTTGCGTCCCGCCGAACACAATACCGCCGTATAAAAACTGGATGCTGCTTGTACCACCGCTGTAATACGCAACATGTCTGGTGCCAGTGACACACGTTTCTTCTGCCGCAACGCGCGAATCCTCGCAGACCGAAAAAAAAAAGAAATTGTCCTATTGCAGATTGATCTTCGACGAGTGTCGCAGCTTTATCCTATTCTTCCTGTCGTATTCCTGCGCCCACTTGTACAGCAACACTCCCACGATGACGGAGGAAGTGCCGAGCCACGATAACGCCGTCACGGGATTGTTGAACAGCAGAACGGACAGCCATATTAGGAAGGCTCTCTTCGCGGTATTGGCGACACTACAATATTTCGTTTGCGCTTTAGAACCGGGCGGAAAGTGCGGCTCGATTGCACGCACGCGGGGGGGGGGGGGGCGATTGCGTACCTATGCGTCACGGGACTGATGTAGTCCATAAGTACGTAAGCGGTAATACTTTGAAAGTGAAAGAATACCCCGTTGAGTAGGAATGCCGCGAATAATTTAAAGCTCATGGAATGCTCCAGGGTGGGTAGGTCGACCAGCAGTATCGACACCGGTATTTGTACCACAATTGACGCCAGACTGGTGTAAAATTGCAATTCCGCTGGTCTGCAAAAGTAGCGGGGCACTTGTCACCTCCCATTTTTTTTACAGTTAACCGTCTCGCGCGCTCGCGCGACGCCACTCACGTGTACTTGAAGTTGTCGCCGCTGATGAGCATCTTCGAGTAAACGTTCTGCAAGCACTCGGTCACGTTCGTGGCCATGGCGGCGATGAATCCTCTAAGGTCGAAACTGATTTCCGTAATGGAGCACAGCGCCAATCCGCCCATTACAGGTATTAAAGATAGATTCACATACAGTCCTGTATGCTCCCCTGAAAACGCGATCGCCTGGTCACGAACAACCCGCGAATCGCTCCAGCCAGTTGGCGAAAGCCGAACCTTGGATTGCAAGCTGTGCGCGTACGCGCGAATACTCACCTAACAAATACTTGCTGATGAGGACGGTGAAGAGTGGCGCGCTACTCTTGATGGTCTCTGTGAAACTTACAGCTACATAATTTAACGATACTAGACCTAGGACCACCGTGGCGAACCTCGTGCAGCCCACCAGCGTCATGTGCTTGTAAAAACCCGGGGGTCTCATCAGTCTTGGGCTGGCTTTGTACATACCGCAGGGAAAGTACATCTGTATCAGTCCGCATATCGCGGTCATCAACATCTGGCAGGCACCTGCGATTCGAAACGCGAGCTCTCGTAGAGACGTACACAATGCAACGCTACGAAGCTACCGACGCCTCGGATATTCAAGTGTCTTAATTAGCCCGCGTTCGTTTTCTCCCACTGGGAGCATAAGCTATACTAGAACTCTATAGTTTACGCTACGTAAATCATAGATGTTTTAGGAGAGTTTATGCTCCCAGTGGGAGAAAACGAACCCTGGCTTAATGTCAATTGCGTGTCTTTAGTTCGCAAGGCGAGTTACCCGCCGTCTCGCGAGCCCGAGGCGCCGCGACGTTGGTCTGCTTACCCAGAATCGTGGGATCGCCCTCCATGTAGGACAGTATGTATTTGTTTAGAAACAGGGTGCAGCCGCTGAAGACGTACCACAGGGTGAGGAAGAGGAGGGCGCGGGGATTGAACAGGCCGCCCTTGGTGTCGCTCGTCAGGACGATCACGTCCTCCCGCTTCCTGGCGTGATCCGCGTGCTGCTTCGGCTGGGCGTCGTGGGGCGCGGGCGCCTCGTCGGCGTCCCCTGGACGCGCGATCTGCGGATAATTGATACGCACGGAGTAGTTCTCCATTCTCGCCGCCCCGTCACTCCGGTCCTCGCGCGAACGCGAGATATCACATCTTCCCCGCGGGCCCGGGCGAATCTCTCCTGTCCTCGGCGCTCAGGAGCGCGGCCAGGTTAGGTTAGGTGACGGTCACGCCGATCTCAGGCCGCGCCACGGCGCTCCGGCGGGGGCGACCGGCCGGACCGATCGCGCGCGACCGGTGCTCGCCCTTGTCCACGTTCTCGCGCGACAATCATCGCTTCATGGGTCTCCTGGTATTACATTCGCGAATGTCCACCCCTCTCGGGAAACATCATCATCTACGAGCATGTACATACACCATACGTTCGCCACGTACCACCGCGGGGTAGACAGTGCCGCCAGGCGGGACGTGGGACGTGAAACCGACGATTGATAAAACCCCTCGCCACTGCGTGGACGCCCGGGTGCCGGCTACACAGGCGTAGCTTATCGGTGTAGCATAACATATATTTTTATATGCAAGAATTTAGAATACATACAGATAAAACGTCTAATATTAGATTCAACGTTTATCTATACGTCTTATCTGTATGTATTCCATATTCTTGCATATAAAAATATGTTTTTTAAATCTCTTACGTCCATACATAAAGATACATTTTCTAATATTAACGTGTCAATATTTTAATCCTTATATATATTTTTTATACTTTACGATTCTCAGTTCGCTGACGATCTTAGTTTTTAAAAATTGCTCAGGTTTTGTATAATATATGTACATATACATACAATGTATGTATAATATATACGCACTCTCTGCAATAGCTTTAAAAATGAATATAGAAACTGTAAAAGAAATAAAATTTTGACACAACTAGACAACAATTTAAAGCAGAAAGTGCGCTATGCGTCACATGTTTTGGGAGTTAATCTTATTTAGCTACACACATTTTTTATTTGTTAATATATATTTATAATATAAATTCTATTGTGGAACACATAACGAGAGATACAAAACTCGCTGGGTAGATGTAGGCATATCACATTATTTCCATCTGCATAGTTTTTATCTATGCTATATTTCGTAACTTCTTTTATAGGTCTTTACAAAAATAATTTCATCTCCGAAAATATAAAACCTATAATAACGGCAAAATAATAGCGCTACAATTCTGCAAACGAACGTACTGTTCTAGTCGAATTGTGTGCAACGTTTTCACCCAACGTGGAAGCATACTTCTGTAGGAAATCATTGTACGCCAGGATAGCGACGTTTCTTCCAGCTATTGCACTCATTTCCATCGCACTTGCGGCCCACTCAATTGCATTGACGTGATACAGCGCGTCGTGCAGCTTAAAGTTATCAAGATTCATGCTGGTCGAATAATGGGGATATGCTTTCCAAGCAATTTGTTTGGTCTCGACAACCTTGATATAAAAAAGAAAATTATTACTAATTATATATCGAAGTGAGTTCTCTATCTCGTCCGAAACAATTGTAGCAAATTTCTTACGTTGTAAAAGATATCATGAAGAAGACTCGTCTCCATACGTTCTCTGCTGAAGAGCTTCCAAACTGGTCGATCTTTCTCGATAAAATTTGCCTGCTCGCTCTTAATTGAACCGTCAACAGAATCCTGTTCTCCGACCGAACTTATCTTTGTTTTGTTGGGATTGCAACTTAGAATGCTACTCAGAGCCGTGTCCAAGCCAAAGTACTTTAGATTCAGATCCCCTTTGATGAACGCTACGTGCGTCGTTTGGTAGCTTCCCGGAAACGCCAGTTTGTCCGGAAACTCGGCAAATTCTATTTGGAATTCTTGGTCCGTTGTAAGTGGCGCAGCGATAACTACGATGTCGTAAGTAGACGTCATTGGATCCGTGCTATCTGGAATACATATCATAATTTGCACATTGTCTTTCAACACATAACTGAAACATTTGTCAGACAGGTTTCACATTTGCCTATCGCACCTTCGTTAACATAGGTCACTTCGTACTGGCTCAAATTACGTGCGTTATCATTTAAGTGACGAATCTTTGTAACGCGACTCGGTATCACACTCACATTCTTATTTCTGTAAATAAGATGCTCCGGCACCTGGAATTTAAGCTTGCATTTTACACGTACTTTAGCTTCGGTAGCCTGGATAGATAATGGATTGGACGGTCACCTTCTTGTTTCCACCTTTAACAGACCATAACTCGCTGCCCGTCGCTAGACATATACAACCAACGAAACTCTGCATATCTGTGACTTCCTGACCGTAATTCACCACGGTAGCGGCTTGCACCAATTCGTCGATCAGCACCTTGGAGTAGCCCAGATTCGAGAGGTACTCTCTCATGGATATCCGCAATAACCTTGGAAAATCCTCGTTCATAGCCGACAGCAGCTCGGTGGCGCTAGCAAATGACTTCCCAGCATCCTGCAGATCATATATTTTCACGAATTCCTTTATCATGTTCTCTATACGCCTGCTCAAAGGAAACGCGTATGTTACAGTTTGGTCACCTCTTTTCGAGCCTTAGGTGACTCGTAATTTCAAGACGTTTGTGAAATATTCATGTATTATCAAGTCATATTCAGTTGTCACATTCGTATGTGTACATACGTGTTTTCTCTGCAAACGTTGCCTTCACGAACACAATTAAGCCCCGAGACACCCCTAGTAGCACAATATATTGGCGCAATATTGGGAAATGTGTAAATCTAATATTTTCAATATGGGTCCAATATTGTAAGATGAACGCCTCCTCTTATTTAGCCAAGATTAATGTGTCTACTTAGCAATATTAGTCTAATATTATATCAATATCAGATCAATATTAAACCAATAATCATACCATGTTGCTAAACATTGGCCAATGCATTTCCTATATAAATCTAATATTATGTAATTATTATTGTACAATATTAACATTTATTTCGTGACCGATGTTACATTGGGAGATATCGGCCATTGCATTTCCAATATAGCCAATATCGGACCAATGTTTAGCCAATGCACTGTGCTACTCGGGACACATTATTGCACGTTACTCGAGACACGGACTTAAAGAGTGAAGCATTTTCTTGAAATTACAAGTCAGAGCCTAAAGCCTTTCTGCTTTCACTGCACAAATACCAGTTAAGCTGAATGAGTTGAAAGCCGTATCTGCGAAGTAACTTTGATATCGTTACCAACCACCAATCACTCTCTATGAATACAAACTCACTGCCGTTCCATATGCCCACTTTGTCGTTGCTCGGGGTATTCTTTTCCAGACCTAAAAATCGGCGAAAGCTGGTCAGTGCCGTTCCTCGCATACGCGGCCAGTACAGTCGAGCTTATCGGTACAAAGAGAGAAAAAGTAGCAGTCGACACTCACCCAAGAGTTCAACGAATCTCTGCATATACATGTTCTTGGTGTGCAAGATCGAGCCGCCAGCCTCGACTTCAACTCCGCCGATATTCACGGTCGCCAGGCGTCCGCCGACGGTCCTCGCCTCGTACAAGTCGATTTTCATGGTCCCGTTGAACAGCTCGGTGAGGAAATGCGAGGCGGACCCGCCGCCAATGCCACCCCCTATTACGGCTGGAAATCAACGGGTCAAACCTGAGTGTCTTGTATAATTCTTAAACGGTGCGTCGAAACGAGACGTTGACTCTCACCGATACGCGGGACGGGCGCTTGTGAAACCGCCCCAGCCCGTTGGAGGGTTAAACCCCCGAGCACCAGTAACGCTACATGCCACCCCATGGTCCGCGCACGACGCTCGCTCAGGCACGAATATGCTCAACGGACGCGAACGATTTTTATATCCTTCTTCTCGTGTCCGTACGTTACATACCTAATCGTCACCTCTCGATTATAAAAAATTGATAGAAGTCGTATATTTTTACATTTAGTTCGTTTTATCTTATCCACATGTGCGTGCAGCACAGGTACATACATATATACATACATACATACATATATATAATACGGCGTGATCACGTGACGCGCAGGGAGCTACCCGCGGTACTGCCCAGGTCGTGTGTAGCGGCTGAATTCAGTATGGCTGTGCATGGCCCAGATAAACAGCTGGGAGAGGGTCCCGGGGCGTTTACGGGCTGCGCCGTGCATTCCTCCCTAGTCAGTGAACTCGGCCTCGTACCCCGCACGGGACGACGGGACGAGCGGCGGGATAGAGATCCGACACGCGGACACCCGGTACCCTCGGGCGAGGGCCCACCCTGTCGCGGGGTCCCGCGATGACAGCCGAGAGCTGCCCTCGAGGGCACGCGAGGCCACGATAAGAGCGCGGCTCCTCTCCTCCCACCCCCCTCGCCCTCCCCGCGCCGCGAAAAGATGTGTCGCGATTGCACGACGTAGCCCGTAGAACGCCGGAGGCTGGCAGGAAGCCACGACTCGCAAAAGGGGGACGGTCCCCCGGTACGTAAGGCCGACCGCGCGTTTCTCAGCGGCCGGAGGGATAAATGCTCAGCAAGAGAATAGAGATCGCGAGCCGAGATTGCGTTGAGTCTTACGGTAATTCACTACCCCTTGTGCACGAACGTTTTCTCTCTCTCTCTCTCTCTTTCTAACTCTATCTCTCTTTTGTTACAATTTTTATTCGTGTTACACAGACATTACAAAATGCATCCCCCTCACACGCACACGACTCTGTACAGTTTACAAGGAATAAGCTAACAAACGAAGGCGAAGGTGCGTCGCCGCCTCACTCCGTCCACCTGTGGGTGCAGTGCTGATTCGTACACACGTAATACAATCTCATCTCCTCCTCGGCCCGTCTAGTTTGCGCCTGGAAAAATACGGCTTCTCTGTGATTGCACTTCGGGCATGGATGTTCCTCGGTTCTCGGCAGCGTAGGGTCGGATATCACGTCGGCGACGATGTGCGTTAGTTCGCTGGAAGCAGAGACGCGCGGATCAGACGCACGGCCTTCACTCGGCACTAGCGGCGAGTTACGAGCTCGAGCTTCGCGACGAGCCCTAGGGCTCGCCCAAGCTGTATCATTTTGTATAACAGGGACACTCGTGCACAAAATGATACGCTCCTCCCCCTCCTTTCCCCGCATACATCACACACGCAGCGAACTCGGTTGCTTGCACTAGTGCACACTGAATGCCCACTCAAGCCTGTCTATAGTCCATTTCTTACATTCGACCTTGCGTCAAGCCTAGATCTACAATGCGCCCTTTGCGATTAGAAACGTTCTACTTCGTGTGAGCAAATCGACACGCTTGAAAACCTCGTCGACAACGTACAATCGTATACGACGTACCGACTTGCCGTTTAAACGCGTTGATCAGCTGCGAAGTGAACCGTTTCTAGACGCGAAGAGAGAGCGCGCGAGCCTCCGTACACAATGCGCGCCAGCAACCGATTTCGCTGTTGGCGCGAATCCCCCTTGACGTTTGACGACGTCCCCGTGCACAGACATTAATCGACTCCCCGAGCCACTTTTGCTTTCAACTCACTCTATCTCGTGCATGATCTTGTTCACGTAGATGCAGTTGCTGTCCGCCAGTTGCTTGAAGTCACAGTTTCTGCACTGAAACAGCCAGACCACCCGCAATTACAATTCCTCCTCGCGCGACCGAGAGGTACGAGCCTCCCCTTCGTTTCCGTTCACCCGCCGCCCCCGTACTCACCGCGTACATGAGCACCTTGTTCTCCTTATCCTCCTTCGGGTACAACATGTTGTTGCACTCCTGGCAGAACCGGATGCCCACGAATCCCGGGCCGTCGTCGTGTGTGTCGTATCCCGTTATCTTGGACATGATCGCCCGCCAAGTGGATCGATTCCCGGTCCCGCGTTGTCCGAAAATTACTCGCCGATAATCGCCGGTGGTCCCGAGCGTCGTCGATCGCGACGCAGGAGCAGTGGCGACACAACAATGTCAACAATAACAACGCGGCGCGTGGCGGCGCCGGGGGTCGACCGGCGCGCCACCTGTCGGCGCGCTCGGGAAAACCGAAGGCCGCGCTTCGCGCGGCGCGGAGACCTGCCTTGCCCGCGGATGCGCTGTGCCGCCAGCAGGTTCCTCGCAAAAAGAAAATGTGAAATTCGCCAGCGGCTCCGAGGATTTCGAGATTGTCGCGAAATTACTGGCGAGAGACGCGCGAGAGACTCGCGGAATCGAATTGACTGCAATTTGAAATCCTTTCGGCTCCGATTCGCGAGGAGAACTTTCCCTTTCTCATTGGCCGTTTATGGTTTCACGTTCCTGGGAAATTGGAATGAATGAAATCTTGAATCCCCGTCTGCGTAAAATCGAACGAGTAGAAACGGCTTGTTGAACAGTGACTGTCGGCGTTGTTTAACCGCTGTGTGCTTGACCAATACGGACTCGAGCATGCGCAATAAATTGTCTCTTAAGGCCTGTGTCCACGATACTAGGACTTGGTCCAAGTTCTAGTTCCGAGAAATGCGTAGCCAATCACCTTGCAGCTTTTATGGAATAGCTGCAGGTTGATTGGCTATACATTTCTCGAAACTAGAACTTGGACCAAGTCC